ACTGCATAAAATTCAATAATAAATTAAGGAAACTTATGGAAAAACAATTCTATGAAAACAAAGCTAGGGGCCAGAGGCCTGTGACACTGCAGCTAGCCTAACCTAGCTAACTTTACCTACTAACTTATAGGCAATGACCAAAAGTTAAACAAACCAGCTAAAGAAACATGCAGCTTAACACTGCATAAATTTCAGTAGTAAATTAAGGAAACTTGTGGGAAAACAAGTCCATGAAAACAAAGCTAGGGGCCAGAGGCCTGTGACACAGCAGCTAGCCTAACCTAGCTGACTTTCCCTAATAACTTAAAGGCAATAAGCAAAAGTTAAATAAACCTAAATGTACAACCTGCAAAAGAAACATGGGGCTTGACACTGCGTTAAATTCATTAATAAGTTAAGGAAACTTATGGAAAAACTAGTCCATGAAACAAAGCTAGTGGCCAGAGGCCTGTGACTCGGCAGCTAGCCTAACCTAGCTAACTTTACCTGCTAACTTATAGGCAATGACCAAAAGTTAAAACAAACCAGCTAAAGAAACATGCAGCTTAACACTGCATAAATTTCAGTAGTAAATAAGGAAACTTGTGGGAAAACAAATTATGAAAACAAAGCTAGGGGCCAGAGGCCTGTGACACTGCAGCTAGCCTAACCTAGCTAACTTTACCTACTAACTTATAGGCAAAGACCAAAAGTTAAAACAAACCAGCTAAAGAAACATGCAGCTTAACACTGCATAAATTTCAGTAGTAAATTAAGGAAACTTGTGGGAAAACAAGTCCATGAAAACAAAGCTAGGGGCCAGAGGCCTGTGACACAGCAGCTAGCCTAACCTAGCTGACTTTACCTAATAACTTATAGGCAATAAGCAAAAGTTAAAACAAACCTGAATGTAAAGCCTCACGTCGACTGGGTGAGGGTGGGGGTGGGATGTTCAGGCCTCCTCCCGAGTGTGCTCCAAATTACAGCCACCTACTGGAGAAAAACCAGTGCCCCATAACACCGAGGGGCACCACCCCCTCTAGGACCACTGCACCTGCATTTGGTCACCAAGGCTGAACCAGCAGGCGTGCATCAGAGCGCGCGCCAACACAGAGACAAACACTGGTCCGACGCGCCAACAAAACACAAACACTACCTTAAATGTTGAGAAGGGCAGGACGCCCCTGACGGGACGCTCCTCGTCGTTGTCGAGAGGAACTGGTGTAGGGTCCATGCTGGGAGAACAGTTGAGCGGGCTAAACTTCTGTGTTTACGACTCGCTGAGCAGCAGTGAGTCGTTATGTAAGAGCAGCTACTGGCTTGGGGAAAGGGGCCCACGCCGTCTCCGTCCCGGTTTATATAACCTCGGGTCAATGCGCGCGCAGCCTGGGGCGGTTAAAGTCGGCTTCCAGACATACGTTTTCTTCCACTCAGAAAACCCACCGTTTTTGGGAAACAGTGTTCTTTTTCTTTTTTCCTACAAAAACGTCAATACTTGGCAACATCTCAGCAGTCACCCTTTTATATCCCAGCATCATTAGCATCTTTAAACAAGAACAACATAATTTATGTGCATCGTCGGAGGCGTCTAAGAATGTGCAAGAAGCAACGCGACCCCACCATGTGGTGTTGACGTTACTCAAACCAGCGTTCGTCATACGGGACGATTTGACACCGATCGGGCCGTTTGTTACCCAAAATGTTCGTCTTTTGGGGTGATCGTTATGCGAGGTACCACTGTATTAGACTTTGGCATCAGTCAGTGTGAATGGAGTTCTTTAGGCCTACCAGGCAGCCAGAACCTGGCCCCCCTCAGAGAGGCATGAGGAGCAATGGCCCATAGAAACCCCCATGTGGTTGGAACCATTCTGTGTCTGCCATCGACCGAGTCAGGCACCCAGAAAGGTAAGCATCCCAAAACAAACCCCTATTCTGGTTAAAAATTTGCTACTGAGAGCCGAACTAGTGGACAGAACTCCCAAACAAAAACGAGCAACTGAGCATGGCATTATCACATTGCCACGCCGCCGTCTTCACATATCCCCCCTTCCCTGGAAGGGGAAGCCCCAGACCCTTTGTGCTGGCTACCCAAGAACCCAGTTCTGAGGCTAGATGTCAAAAATATGTGAAAAAACCACCGACCGGAGGGAGGGAGGGTTGCCAGGGAGCCTCCGGGTCTTACGCAGAAAATGACGTTTCATTACATTCAACACTAGTTTTCTGGGGGAAGCCCTGTTGGCTCCCCGGAGCTACTTACCAAAAGACAAAAATAAGAGGGACTTACCCATGAGGCGGTTGTTGCTCGCTCCTCAACGCAAAGCTGAGACAACTGGCTGCAACTGCTGACCCAAAGCAACACACGCCCTTTGAGACCCAGGAACATTAAATAATTAACGCACAGCCAGGAACCTGTTCGACTGCCAAAATCCCTACGCCCGAATGTCAGCCCAAGGCATGTTGCCAAAGACGGCAGCAAGAGCAGCAAACTTAAGAACGTCGTGGGGACGGGGATAAACTGCAGGCTGGCTGGACCGAATAACCGTGCGGACAGCCTGAGACCCACACTCTCCACTTAGGGGGTCTGGTAGCTGAGTGGACAGCGTGCAGGACTCGTAATTCTGTGACCTAGGTTCGATTCCCGGACCAGGCAGAAACAAATGGGCAAAGTTTCTTTCACCCTGAATACCCCTGTTACCAGCAGAAAATAGGTACCTGGGAGTTAGACAGCTGTTATGGAGCTGCTTCCTTGGGGGGGGGGGGCAAATAGTAGTTACAGTTGATTGACAATTGAGAGGCGGGCCGAAAGAGTGATTGGTTGAGCCGCTGTTCTTGCGGCTCAACCTCTGCAAGAATTACTAGGTGAATACACCAGGGAATAGGGAAGAAGGGAAATTGGATTAACCCAAAGCTCGTCCCTGGACACAGAAGCCATGGTGCGCAAATAACGGCCGAGGGCCGCAACCAGACACAACACATGATGTCTCATTCTTTGCCAGAAAAGGAAACAACTGCAGACGAACAAACCTATCATGCGGAAGAAAAGAGCAGAAACCCCTGCGCCGGAGGAGAGCATGAAGCTCCCCAACCCAACCCCCAGAAGCCAATGCCAACAAGAAAAGAGCCCTGGAAAAGCAATCAAGAACCAAAGGGGCCACAACAAAGCAACTAGAAGAGAGAAAAGAAAGCACCCTATGCAAGGACCAGGACGGTGCATGAGCAGGTCGGAGGTGAAACAACGCACGAGACAGCTTGCGAAATGGCACAGCAGTAACATCAATACTGAAAGCAAGCTGTAGTGGCTCCACCAGCGCCACACGATACGAGGCGACAGTATTTGGCATAAGACGACAGTCCTGAAACAACCACTACAGAAAGGACAAGACAATCTTAACTGAGAGCAAAGGATACCTACGAAGGGAGAGAAAGAAACGAAAGGACCGCCAGGAAACTTCATACTGCCGCTGAGACGAAGCCCGTAGGTGGGACACCATCAAGGACGCCACCTGATGATCATCCAGATGGCGATAAACTCAAGTCAAAAAGACTATATGTGAAGAATCGAGGAAAAGATTGAACCAGCCACGTGACGGATATGGGTATATCTCTTTGGGTATGGAGCTCCAGGGAGCCTCTGGGGCTCCCCTTAGAAAACCAGTGCTGAATGTAACGAAACACCATTTTCTGGGTGAGCCCCGGAGGCTCCCTGGCAACCCTCCCTCCCACAGGTCGGCAGTTTTTTTCACTTTTGTTGAAGCTTAGCTTCCGAACTGGAGTGCTATGCTACCGGCGTGGTGAGGTCCAGGGTTCCCCCCCTCCCCCTCTCGGGGAGGGGAGGGCTGCGCGGACAAACGGCGCGGTAGTAGTGTGTTACGTTTGCTTGTTTCCTTGGGATTGTAGGCAGTTCTACCTCTTTGTTCGTTTTTTCTTGTTAGTTTCTTACCATGTGTTTTTTTTTGTTATACCTACCTTTCTGGGTGCCTAACCCCAGTCGATGGCAGATAAGGAAAACCCCCAACCACAAGGGGGTTTTCCAGGACCATTGCTCCCTGAAACCTAGAAGGGACCAGGTTCTGGCTCATGGTCCCTGGTAGATCTGAACTCTATAGCTAATGTCCTGGTTTAATATAACATACATTAGCCCGATAAGCTCCAGGGAGCCTCCAGGGCTCACCCAGAAAATGGCGTTTCATTACATTCTACAGTGGTTATATGACTGGTAAAAGATATTGTGAGCTCCCTGAAGCTCTCATCAGTGATGAGAAGTGCCATACTACCTAGTGTCATAAGTTGTAGAGTTCTTTTTGTTTAAGAGGGACCACCAGCTAAAACCTGCCCCTTCCCCCTCAGTGAGGCACAAGGAATGATGGCCTATGATAACTTTACATTTAAAGGTTTTCATCTTTGCCATCACCAGCAAAGGCACCCAGAAAGTTAGGTGAATCAAAACAAACCACTGCCTGGTTTAAAAATGCAACAATGGCTGCCAAAATGCCAAAAGAACTCTTCCAATGATAAAAGAAACAACCAAAACTTAGTGAAACTAGCCCTCCCCCCCCTGCTAGTTTCCTCTAGTTAAGATGTCTTAAAGGAACTAGTCCCCCCCTGCTAAAGGGTGGAGGTTGGCAGGCATAGAAGATTTCTGAAAGAAACTGATTGTTTGTTTACATAGTTGGGGGAGTTCTTTAGATGGGGTTTTGAGGCTTTGATCTCTTTTTGAAGTCAGCAGTGTTATGTTTTGATTTGGTGACTGTCTAGTTGCATTTGCCAGTAAGGTAGCCAAAATCAATGGTGCAGGTTGTAGTGGTGGTCCCCGGTAGGCTTATAGAACTCCACAGATAATACAATCTAGTAGATACACCATTTCAGCATATAGTAGCTTCAGGGAGCCAAGGGAGCCACAAGGGCCTTCCCCAGAAAAGTCTACGTCGTTTTTTACAGAAATCAATTAACATCTGTATTTTACTATAGATTCCTATTTGTATATATCATGTTTCTGTACTAATCATTTTGTTTACTTGCAGTCATATACAGAGTTAAGCAAGCTGTCTAGTGTGTTCGTACCACTCAACCTCCGCCAACACTGCTGGGATTTCCAGGCTCCTTACGTTACATTTCCTTGCCTAACAGTTATGGTAAGTTTAAAATATATCATTATCAATAAAAGCAAATACAGTATTATTATTGCATTATTATATATTATTGCATTGATTATAAACATTGTCAGTTATAATTTCTGAGCTAATTACTTTTACCTCAGTTACTGCCAGAGCCACAATGGTCCACCATAATACAGTTCACTCTGATGGCTCTGGACAACTTGTTTCTCTGACATAACATGTAACATTACCAGTGGTCTTGATACAAGGGGAAAAAAAAAGAGTCAGTTGAATATCTAACTCAGTCCACTATCAAGTGACTGCTTGTTATGAGAGGTCATGCAACAATTTACTCAAGAATCTCTGCCAAGAGACAGTTGGAATCGTTAGGATATTATATTATCCATCTGCAAACTACTTGTTAGTAACTAGCTAGTTTTCTGAGTACCACCAGAAAGCAGCACTGACCAACACATCTGTGTCTGGTGAGTCAGCAGCTCTTACTTTCATGCATGGCAATCCACCTTTCGCTTGCCAGTCTTGCTGAGATTGATTAAGGTAAACAAAATTTTCTTGGGTAGCCCTTTGTGGCTTCTTGAAGGACCATGAGCCAGAACCATGAACCAGAACTACTGAGGACCATGAGCCAGAACCTGGCCCCTTCACAGAGGCATAGAACTTAAGAACATAAGAATGAAGGTAACTGCAGAAGGCCTATTGGTCAATATGAGGCAGCTCCTATTTATATCCACCCAATCTCATTCATATATATGTCTAACCTATGCTTGAAACAATCAAGGGAATCTACTTCTATTATGTTACACAGTAATTGGTTCCACAAATCAACAACCCTGTTACCAAACCAGTATTTACCCCAGGTCTTTCCTAAATCTAGGAAAAACACAAATATGACAGTGGTCCATCCAAGACTATACAAGCGAGATGTATAAACTCTTATCATCTCTTCATATAACCAGACATGTTTTCACTCACACACTTTATCTAAACTGCAAATGGGATTACCAATCCAAGGATATCCTACACAGGGATGGTGCAACCTGGGATAAGGGCACATTACACAGTGCACAGCATCTGCAACCATGGATTTATAAGTCTAGCTAAGAGAATACCATTCTCTAACATAGCAACTTTAATGCTTTTACAAATCAATTCTATTCGTGGAGGTCTTAATTTTTAGTTGAGAAATGCATACTAATACATTATATATATTTTTACAGGTTTTGTGGGGATGGATGTTTTATTATGTAACAATTTTTACTTTCAGGAAAATAATGCCTACATTACCAGCAGTGTTATGGCAGCATTTGTAGACACTGCAGGTTTAGTGTGTCGCAGCCGCACGTCTCCCATGTCACTTTCATGTGTTGTGGACCTCTTGACGCCTGCAAGACGAAATGTAAGGCTAACACTAAGTAGTGGTTTATTAATTGGTAATTAACATATACTTAACCCATTGTACTGCTCACTCGGTGATATCATGGGGAAAGGGAGTGTACCAACTAGCACATCACATTTGTTAGTACTGTACATCATAAGATTCAAAACTCCCATGGATACACGGGGCTCACATTCTGTTCCTCGGGACCCTTGTAAATAGATGCCATCTTGAAAAAAAATCATCTGCATTCCTCTTGGTTGTGAGAGCCTCTATACTGTCAGAGCAGCCAAGGCCAGTGCAAGCTCACAGCACAGCTGTGCAGATCGGGACCACAGCACCACTTAACATTTTCGCGCCCCGGGCATGCGCGCCACCTACTTAGAGGTCACGACCCCAGTGTGCGGGCTACTGTGTGGGCGAGCGTGCGGCTACACCAAAATGTGTACAGTATACAGTATCCACTCAATTTAACAGCCTATATGGGGCTGTACCCTGGTCATTATTTCCGGAGCTCCGATATTTCCGAAGTTAAGATGTCGGTAATTTTTCAAGTAACATTCAGGTAGGATATACTTTATACTGTATAACTAATATTAAATAAAGTTCATTGTGTAATTGCGTTTTAAGTTAGTTCCTGTGTTAGTGCCGATTTTATCACAGGTTACAATTAATAATTCCTTCACATGACAAGTTGAAATAAGTTTATTGAGGTAAAATACACACAAAGGGATGAGGTAGCTCAAGCTATTCTCACCCCATTATGTTATTCTCACCCCATGACAAGTTGGATCACACAAGTGGACAAGTGGACCATATTAACCCAACACCTCCCTCCCTCCAAATGTCTTCCATCCCCCTCCCTCCAAATGTCTTCCATCCCCCTCCCTCAATGTCTTCCATCCCCCTCCCTCAATGTCTTCCATCCCTTCCTCAATGTCTTCCATTTCTTCCTCAATGTCTTCCATCCCCCTCCCTCAGTGTCTTCCATCCCCTCCCTCAATGTCTTCCATCCCCTCCCTCAATGTCTTCCATCCTCTCCCTCAGTGTCTTCCATCCCCTCCCTCAGTGTCTTCTATCCCCTCCCTCAATGTCTTTCATCCCCTCCCTCAATGTCTTCCATCCCCCTCCCTCAATGTCTTCCATCCCTTCCTCAATGTCTTCCATCCCCTCCCTCAATGTATTCCATCCCTTCTTCAATGTCTTCCATCCCCTTCCTCAATGTATTCCATCCCTTCCTCAATGTCTTCCATCCCCTTCCTCAATGTCTTCCAACCCTTCCTCACTGCCTTCCTCATAACATGAGAACAGCAGGCTATGGAGGAAGGAGCTACTAACGGGGTCGAGGGAGCTACTATAATGGGGTCAAGGCTAGGCTACCCGGACATCTGTCAGCGCCTGCTCACAGATGCCAACTGTTCATAATTCATAAATAGAACTATATATGTTTAATTAATAAATAGGAAACTATAAAACATGTTAATGCTTAATAATGTATAGTAATATACGAAAATTAACATATTTTGGCATAAATATTTTACAACTAAGATTAAAAATTTTAATACCGTATGGGTGAGAGGTTTGGCACCATCGCCTTGGTCAGCAATTCTGCCCTCCGCCTCCCTCACCATCACCACTCTCCCTGCCTCCCTCAACACCACCCTCTCCCTGCCTCCTTCAACACCACCACCCCTCTCCCTGCCTCCCTCTACACCACCCTCTCCCTGCCTCCCTCAACACCACCCCTCTCCCTGCCTCACTTTCGCAAACAGAGTGGTAGATGGTTGGAACAAGTTAGGTGAAAAGGTGGTGGAGGCCAAGACCGTCAGTAGTTTCAAAGCGTTATATGACAAAGAGTGCTGGGAAGACGGGACACCACGAGCGTAGCTCTCATCCTGTAACTACACTTAGGTAATTACACTTAGGTAATTACACCGACCAGAACAAAACAATCACCCACGGCACAAGCACAGGACATGAGGTCCGGGCTGCATCACTCTATCCAAGGGGAGGGTGCCAACAAGGAATATGGAACCATTAATAGTGTGAGCGTGTGTTGGTGTTCAGCGCACTTTCTCCGGTTTATACACTGCTCTTGCTCGTCTTATCTCTCTGGTCATCGCTCCCTGGTTCGTGGGGTTGTTATGTGTGGGGGATAACTAGTTACTTCTCTGCTTATGTGTGTGGGATGGTGCCTCCTACGCCTCTCCACTTCTCTACTGCTGATCTGCAAACGCATCTCTGGACATGCTCTCCTAGCCATGTTTCCGGGCTTCGACACGGCCACGCTGTGTCATGACCCGTTGATGCCTCTGCTCTCCAGGTGAGATTTTGCAGTCTGGTGCCTTGTCAGCCGGGACTCTGGACGCTTATTCATTGCCCTTTGTTCAGTGCCTGGCTCCCTTATATGCGTTCCGTGCCATACTGATGTCTGACCCAAGTGGCAGTTGGGTTGGCCCATGTATTGCATTCCGCGGTGGTTGCCCGGGTTTGCCATCAGCGAGCGCTGATTTTCATGCATGACATTTCCCCATTGAGTTGATGTCCACATGGCACAATGGTATGACACTGCCCTAGCCTGACCTAGCCTGGCCAAGCCTAGCCTAACCTAGCCTGCCCTAGCCTACCCTATTCTACCCTAGCCTACCCTAGCCTACCCTATCCTACCCTAGCCTACCCTAGCCTAACAACCTAACCTGCATGCCATTTCCTAGCTATGGCTTTTTGGTTTCCTATGTTCACAAGGTGTTTTCCACAATATTCTTGGGCATTCCCCGATTCTCCGTTGGTGGGGGGGGGGGGCAGAGCGTGGGTTGGCCCGGTAGACATTCTGGTCGGATTTTGACATGGGGTTCACCCATATGTCCGTTCTGTATACACATCCCTATGCCTTATACATGTACGGCATGTATATACCCCTTTTGTAACCCTCCCCCTTCCTCTTATGGGTTGGAGGCAATGTTCTTGTTCTTGGGGTTCTGGGTTTTGGTGCTCATGTGGGGTTTGCTTCTCTCATTAGCACTTGTGTTGGGCGAGTTTCTTGTCTTTTCCTCGCTCCTAGTCTGTGTATATGGTTCATGGAATTTCTGTTGCCGATTGCTTCTGATCTTGTTCCTGGCTTCCAGTGCTTGGACTGTCTTCAGGTCTTTTCGTTGCCTTTTACGTCTTTCTACCTCTCTCTCCTACTCCTTGTTGTGTATCTTGGTAGGTGCATATTGGCTATCCTCATGCTCGTGCTAGGTTGTGATGTCTTCTTGTTCCGTTTCCTGTTGTGGAACTGGCCCGGTGTTCCGGTATAGCTTTGAGTTCTTCCTCTTCTCCTTATCTGTCACTACCAGCCTCAGTGTTGCAATGTCAGCTGGTGTATATATATAGCTTTCCGACACCCACTCCTGCCCCTATCATTCCTTTTCGTTGGGGCTGGGGGCGCTTGGCTTCTGGCCCTGGCTCTGGTTTTTCTTTGTTCCTTTTCGGACTGTACATCTTTGTTTTAGTGCAGTACGTGTCTTCGTTGTTCTCCTTCCTTCCTTCCTCTGCTTCGTGCTTCATTCTACCCTGCTGGGGCTGGTGCTGCCGCTCCTGCGGGTTGCGGGGTCACTGTTTTTCGCTTCGCGTCTCGGGTTCCAGCTCGTGGTGCTCGGTTCTGTGTTGGCCTCTGCCAGGGCCTTGGCTCTTAGGTTTTTTGTTGCCCTTTTTACCCTTGCTGCTTGCAGAACAGCCAACCGGAAACTCCGCAAGCAGCGGCTTCTTGTCTGTTGGTAGGCTTATTGTTCCTTCAGAGGTACCCAGGGGGGGGGGGAGCTGACTGGCTGGGTTGGTTCTTTCCCCTGTTTGGGTTCCTGGTTCCCTGGTGGTCATTCCTTTTGGTTCTTTGACAGCCTTGGTTCCTTTGCAGCTTGCTTAGTGTCCGCACCCGGGGTTTTTTCCCATGGCTCCGCCTCTTATACATGGTCGGGCCGGTCCGTGGCAGGCTGGTTCGGTCTTCTCGAGTCTTCTGGTTTGGTATTTTTTACTCGATTCTCTCACCATCTGGTTGGTGGTCAGGTGGTTTTTTTTAATGTGTCCCACTTGTATGTTTCGTCTTGGCGGCGGTATGGGTTTTTTCTGGCAGTCCTTTTTCTTTTGGTCTCTTTGTAGGTGTGCTGCCCTCTTTGTTGTCGTGGTCTTGTCCTTCTCTTGTGGTTGTTCTGGGCCGTCTTCTGGCCGCATACCGTCGCCCTGTCTCGTGCGACACTGGCGGAGCCGCTTCGGATTGCTCCGGTTTTGTTGTTCATTCTGCACCGTTCGTGGGTTGTTTCGGGCATTGTTTGCCTCCAGCCTTTGCAGATGACACTAGGATCTTCATAAGAGTAGGCAACATAGAGGACACGGCAAACCTCCAGTCAGATGTAGATCAGGTCTTTCTATGGGCTACAAAAAATAATATGGTGTTTAACGAGATAAGTTCCAGCTCATGCGCTATGGAAAAAATGAAAATATAAAAACGGAAACCACGTACAAAACTCAGGCAAATCATAACATAGAACGAAAAGGCAATGTAAAGGATCTGGGTGTACTCATGTCGGAAGACCTTACCTTTAAAGAACACAATAAAGTAGCCGTCACAACTGCAAGAAAAATGACAGGTTGGATAACAAGAACTTTTCACACTAGAGATGCTATACCGATGATGATACTGTACTTTTCAAAACGCTTGTGCTCTCTAGAGTTGAGTACTGCTGCACAATGACAGCCCCTTTCAAAGCTGGAGAAATTGCTGACCTGGAGAGCGTGCAGAGATCCTTTACTGCTAGAATCCACTCAGTAAAACATCTAAACTATTGGGACCGACTAAAGAGCCTAGAACTGTACTCCCTTGAGCGCAGGCGGGAGAGGTACATAATAATTTACACGTGGAAAATATTAGAGGGGCTGGTCCCAAACCTGCACACAGAAATAACATCACATGAGACCAGAAGACATGGCAGGATGTGCAGAATACCCCCATTGAAAAGCAGAGGGGCAACAGGTACTCTGAGAGA